AGTTTTGCATATGTGCAAAACTTGATTTTGGCTCAATCCACTTAAAATTCAACCAAAACTCATGCAACCAATAGACAACATATTTACAACATACCAATATAATTTCTAGCAATAGAAACAATATGCATTCATCGTTGATCGATAATCAACATATTCAACTCAACGTGACTTCAAGGGAAACCCAACCACACAACAACTCATAATCTCTTCTCTGATCAATTAAGAAACCAACGATAAATGAAATCCAATAACAATTAACAATTAACACAAACTTATCTTGCCCCTTTGAGAACTAAATCAACAAAAGGAGAAGAGAACAATGAGGAAGTCAGCTCCATGCGAATTCCAACCTGATATTATAAGTTATTTAACTTCGAGTCTCACTGCCACTATAAGTCTAAATATCAACCACAAGGATGAAGGAAGATGGGTTTAGTACATAAATGGGATAAGGTTCACTCATGAGAGAAAATCCTATCTACTTCTCTCTAGAGTTTTCTTAAAACACGAGTTTATGAGACATACATCTAAAGAAATTTTGTATACTCTTGTTAAGTTGACTCAACTTGTCTTTAGTTCAATTATCCTAAACACCAACTTAACCTTTATAGTATGTTTGGATGAGGAATTTTACAAATTCAAGGAATTTTAAATTTTTTGTATTTGAATTACTTTGATTTCAATTTATATCATTCTTAAAATATTTTGTTTGGATAAGTCAATTCAAATTTCTCAAATTTTAAATTATTGGATTGAATATGATAATTTAATTCCACCATGGTAAAATTGATTTTAAAAATATATTTATATGCTATGATTTTTAAATTAAATTTTATAAAAATATATATTAGCCAATTTTTAAATATTTAATAATTTTAAAAATTACTATTAAATAATATTTAATAATTTTAAAAATATTTTTGAATATTCAATAATTAAAAACATGAAGAGATAAGAGATAAAATGAAATATATAAGGAAAATAAGAAAAAAAAATATGAGGAATTTCAAATTCTTACTTTATTGGAATTCTCCTATTTCAATGAATTTAACAAATACTTGAATTTCAAATTCTCTGTAAATTCTCCATCCAAACAATATATTTTACCTCAAAAAATTTAAAATTATTCAAATAAATAGATTATTCCATCTAAATTCTCATTTCAAACACACTATTAGAGTCATTTGACTCTATAATTCTTAAACAACATTATCAACTACAATTCACAACTAGACAATAACACTCATACATTTAAATTAAAATATCATAAAATCAACAATTGTATTATTATTATTATTTAATTTAATATTTAAAAAATTAAATGATATTAACTAAATCAACATATAAATTAATCTCCTAAAAAATACAAGTGGATTATATTACTTATAATCTAGAAAGAGTAAATATTAACTTTTTTATTATTCATATTTCGGATTGACGTAAGATGATTCTATAGTAATACCAAACACAGATGGATTATTACTTCACTCCCGTCACAAGCTATGAAAATCTAAGTATGATTGTTTTTTTATTTTATTTTAAATTTAGTTCTTTTATTCTCGGATCTAAAAGCTAAAAGTAAAAACCTTTAAAAAAGGTCACAACTACATTGTTAGCCATTAGAGGGATCTGAATCCATGAAAAAAAATTATTAAAAATACGAACACTCTTATAAAATTGGCCATGCTTTACCAAGTTAGTTGTAATTTGATTAGTTTTTCCAAACTCATGTATGCACATCACTTTATGATCATTCTTAACTATGTCTACCATTTTATTTATCAAAGAATAACACAAATGATCTGCAATAATTATCATTTGAAAATTTCACTGTCAAAACAAAATTAAATTCCACTATAGTTCCATCAAGATGATGTATGTTACGGAGAATATTTAATCCATATATAATAAATAATTCAAAGCTCGGCTTAAACAATTAAATATTTCTACAAATTATAGGAAAATGTCGCTACAAAAGATCTAAAATTATTGTACATTTGTACTATACCCCTAGAAGCATACTTTCAAGCCTATAATTGCGTTCCTACACTCTGAGATTATAGGCTTTAAAAGTATGCTTATATTTATTGAGTGAACTTTCGCAAGAATGAAGAGTTTATCATAATTTTTTATTATTAATCAATATATATTTATTATTATTATTATTGACATTATTATTTTTACTGTCACACCACATAAACTGCTTAAATTAATTTTAACATGATAGTGAATTTTTTAAAATATAATATAAAATTTAAAAATTGATTATAACTTTCAAAATAAGAACCGAAAACCAGTTTGAACGACTCTAAATTAGTAATTATTTATAAGGCAAGAAAACTAATAATAGGGAAATGATCGTTAACAAATGCTAATTTTGCAAAACTTCTTATGTTAGTACTGATTTGTTTATTTATTAATCCACAACAAAACCCGTAAACAGTTTCATAAGTGGCCCGAATATTATGATCAATAAACCTACTACCATGATAAAAGAAAAAAAAATCTATAACGCATATAAAGGTATAGTATGGTTTAGTGTATATCAAATTTTTGACAATTTTTTTTATAATAATTTTCAAATTTCTCCTTTTCACTATTTTTATTTATTATATATATATTAAAAATAATACAGGCATCCCTCACTAGTATTCCTAGCATAAGTATTTATTGCTACTAGCATGCAAAGTCATGTGTAACAACTTAACAATACTTATTGTCACCCCACCATCCTTTCAAATAAATGTAGGATATGCTGGGGTCACCATCGATTCATCGTAGACATCGATACGCATTCCTCACATAATGAGAGGACGTTAAGTTATAAATTTATCAAATACTCCTGTTCCACTTTTATTAATGTATACATCCTTCAAATAAAATTTGTATTTGTGCCAATCAAGAATTTTGAATCATAAAATTACTATTTCAAATAAAAAATTATAATATGTAATATTTTGTTAACCTTTTTTCTCTTACAATATTTTTTATTTATTTTGTATATTATACTATATTAAATCATATTCTAAAGTTTTGCTGATAAAATATTTCTTTTATCCATATACAATTTTCAATTTTAGTTTATTTTAAGTTGTCTTAATTTTATTTTCCTAATTTGGAAGTGCTTTACTTTTGGACCGGCTGTAATTAACATTTAATAGTAGATATAAGCCATCAGAATATCACTTGAAAGATCAAAACGAGCTATTTCTAAATTAGATAGATAATTTTTTGTTAAGACTATAACTGAATTTAAAATAAATAAATAAATAATTATAATATTTCTGTAAAAAATGAATTTAAAATATTAAAGAAATAAATATTATAAAATATCATATTGTAAAATCAAGTGGGTTTTTATAAGACTTGCCACTCTCTCATAAATTTAGACAAAACTTTTTATCCTATGTATATACAATAAAGAAAAATAAAAATTGCGGGGAAGAGGGCATGTCCAGACTTCCCTCTTTTTATATATATATATATATATA